TTGGTTCGTGCCACTTCCCACCGCCTCGCTCCTCCTGGGAAGGGCCCCCGCCCCGCCCCCACTCCACCTCCATCCCTGGCGCTGCGAGCACAATCCCGTTGATTTGTAATGATTTCTGTCTCTTTCTGTCTTTCTCTGACCTCCCCCCCAACCCCCGCCGCGAGCATGCGCAGGCACCGCCCCTACCCCCTCCGGTTCGGTTCGTTTCCGGTTTGTTTGCTGAGCTGTCAATGAAAGACCCGTGTAATTATTCCCGAGCTTTACAATAAAAGTGTGAAAACCGGACCCCACTTCGCTTCTTCCGGGCCCTTGGGCCTGTGTTTCACGGAGAGTCGGGGCTAAATCTGGGGTAGTAGAGACCCTGGAGGCGACTAGGGGATGTGCTTGGTATAAGAGGGACGAGACCCACATTGATTAATCGGTGCCAAACAGGAGTGGCGGCAAGAGGATGCAGATTGAGGACATTTACTCCGTGCACATCAAAGTGCCCCCAAGCTGGTCCGCCGGGCCGGACCCACTCCAGGCGACACAGCCTCACCAGGAGCTGAGGTGCAGGCTTGGTATGGGGGTGGGGGGTGGTGCGGCGCTGGCGAGGAGTTACACCGTCCTGCCTTATTCCACCCGGGATGTAGCCATTCCCGCTCCCCTCCCTCGTTTGGCAGAGTAGGAACTGCTGAGCTGGATGGTGGAAGGGGCGGGAGACATCTGTCTGTCTGTCGCTCCCTCCCACGCTCAGGCATTACAGTTGGAAGTCGATATGGGGACCTAAAAAGGTCTCGGTTCCCATCTTCGACGGCGATGCCCTCCCCCCGCTTCCGCCTGAGCAGCCCTAGCCTCCTCTGTCGGGCTCCCGGGTAAACACCGGCTCTGGAGAGGCCGAAGAACACAGACCGGATCAGCAGGTTTCCCGGCCCCGCCTCCCGGGGCGCCCCTCCCCCGCCATGCACTTCCGCTTGGCACGCATGACCCCTCCCCCGCCCGCGCAGCGTGGGCCTGGATCCCGGACCCCAGGGTCTGTTCAGCCGCAGGGATTAGCCCAGCGCAGAGACTAATCCTGGATGAGCCTCCGTGTAAACCCGGATCGACCGCGGGTACGGCGGGGGTCGTGGGCGCCCCTTCATCTATTCCCATATGCAGGGCTTCGCAGGGCCTGGTGCCCACATCAAGTGCCCTCACTATGTTCGGAGAAGCTAGGCTGGATCTGCTATGGGGGATGAGTGGGGGTGGGAAAGAGGATACCACCAAGATCAGGCCTGGATCAGGTGCTCCCTAGCCTAGTGTTGAGGGTAAGAGGCTAGGGGAAGGAAAGGAAGGGCAAAGGCCCCTCTGGCAGTATGAATCCACAAGGTCAGGTCAGCTCCCTGGCTCAGCGGAAGACCCCTGTGTCCCTCACTAATCCTCCAGTTACAGAATCACCAACCTTCCCTCCACGAGTGGCCAGGGTGATTGGCCCCTAACTCAGAGGTCTCACTTCCAGTTTAGAGGAGGCACCGAATCAGTGGGAGGGCCTCACATCATCCCCACCCCTGACTTGGCCAGACAGTGGGGGATGAGCATCTTCTGTTAAGGCCAAGCTCTGAAAAAGATGTCAGGGGTCAAGGGACTTGGGTACTAGAATCTTCCCCCCTGGTTGGTTCACTCATTCTACAAACATTTCCTGAGCCCCTCCCTTGTACCAGCTCAGCGCAAGGGTACTGGGACACCCCAAGAATGACACACGGTTTCTATAGGAAAGGCAGATAGGTAAACATTTCTCCATCGTGTATTCAGCCCTGCCCTGAACTATAAATCCAGACTGGAGAGCCAAAGAAGGTGTTTCCTCCAGCAAGAGTCCAGAAGGCTTCCTGGAAAGGGTGGTACCAGAGCTGAGTTTCAAGGGGCAGATGGGGAACAGCCCACTGAGGAAGGGGTTAGTGTCGCAGGCTGAGGCAGTAGTGTGCACAAGGGCCCAGAGGTGGAGGAAGAGACTGTGAAGTCATTCAGGAGGGCAGGAGAAGTTGGAGAGGAAGGCAGAGGCTAGAACTAGAAGGCCCCACTGGTCAACCTAAGGACGGCAGGAGGGAGCTATTGCAGCATCCTAAGCCTCTGAAAGAAAAGGTCAGATTTACACTCTTTACAGATTCTAATTTACCGCCTCCCTCCTTTGCCCAGGTTTCTCAGGGGATGCTTGGGTTGGGTGTGGAGACTCACCCACAGACAGACAGGAAGAGGAACCAGGCGCAGGGTAGGTTAGGAAAGGTGGTCCATGCCTTCTTCCATAATACCTGGAGTCAGAGACCTATACATTAGAACTCTGACTGCACTACTTCCTAGTGGTGTGCACTTGGACAGGTAAACTGAGCCTTGGTTTCTTCATCTGTAAAATGGGGAGAATGTTTACCATCGTGGAGGATTCTTGTGGGGCTTCAGTGAAATAATTTGTCCACTCTTTTATTTAACACATGTTTAACACCTACTGTGTGGCAGGCCCTGTGCCAGGTGTTGGTATTACAGCACTGAATTAGACGGGCATGGTCCCTACTGTCTCTTAGGACTTACATTCCAGTGGAGAAGACAGACAATAAACAAACAAATGAGCTAATTATAGATTGTGTTAAAGTGCTGTGAAGGAAACAAACAGTGGGACATGAAGGAGGGTA